ACACATAGTGCCCAGTCTTCTCTACGGCTCGGGACTCCTTCCAAGAATTCTTTATAGGCCAAATAAGTACTTTACATGGTCTTATCATCACAGGGTTTCACATTCGAAAGCTCCTGTAGGTTACAGAGATAATTAATTAAATTAATTACCACCAGCTGTAATTGGCTAGGGTTGCTGGTGCAAGTGGTGCACCATTGCTACACCATTAAGATATCATATAAATTTAAAGCATTACACCAGTGGCAACACCACCAGCACCAACAACCCTACAAACGGCACAAGAAATCTAAATTCATGATTGTTTATAAAAACAAGATAAACATTGAAATTAAAATCTATATTTCCTAAATTATTAACATCAATAAGGTTACAAGAGACAGAGGTGTTATGTGAATCAAAACACGAAGAGCATATGCCTGGACGCAAATATTTTATATTATAACCAGGATTTGAAATTTACATAAATAAAATTCAAAATTTTCTGGATCACTATAATAACCACTAAAATACTATCTAACCTATCTAACTAAACTTCTTAATAATGACGATATATTGGTAAGGTAAATTGAAAGCAAAGACTTAGAAAATATATGATCAATGCTGTATGAATATATATATATTGGCCAAATAAATATGATATATAAAAAAGATTCACATGGCTTCTTTTTTTTTTATAGATTTATGCACAAAACTAATTAGGTTAGTACAAAATTAATTGGGTAAATATATAAAGCCAGTAAATTTGCTGCCGGATTATTACATAGGGCACAAGTAAAATCCAGTAATGTTCCTCATATAAATTGAAAATAAACTATATTTCCTAAATTATTAACATAAATAAGTTTATCAAAAATGGAAATGTTGTTGTACATTGTAACCAGGAACCGTGGGTTTGAAATTTACATTAATAAGATCCGAGTCTCTGGTTGTAACAGTGAAACTAGTACCAGGTCAATCGATGTGTATCACAATAATAACCAACAACACTAATTAAAATACCATTTAACCCTCTAATGATAGAAGATACAAAAGAGGTGTGAAAGGACTTAGTCCGAGTAATTAGAGTATTAGAGTGAGTATACTAGAGTTCTGGATTATGCCACAAGTCTCTAAACCGATATACGAATTTTACTTATCGGTTTTTAATTCTAAAGCGAAAAAGGTAGTTCCTTTATACTTTTGCACTTAGCGTTAGTGATCCAAGCCGATTAAATTTTTACGGCTAGGCTAAGCCATTATATTTTTAATCGCTTAACGGCTTAGCCTATAATTTATGTTATACTGAATCATAGTATGTCTATATAGTACTTCATTCTCAAAATAAGTAGCTTTTTAGATTCGGGTTTACTTTAAATATTCAGACGGTTTTTATACTATAGAATTTTAAATAACAAATTAAATTCTTGGAAATTAAAAGTATTCAATCGAATAGAGATTTATTACCAAAGTTTATATATGTTATAAGTTAAATTGAAATTGAAATTTGTGTCAGATCAAAATTTCAAAACTGAGTTTAATTAGGGTTAGGGCAAAACCCTATGTTGGGTAGTTCATGAGTGGCATTATAATTATTTTGATCCAATACAAAATTTTAATTCGACGTATAACGATAGCAAAGATTTAAGTTTGGTAATAGGTTTTTTTTTTTTTACTAAATTTTAGTTATATTCAACTTTGAATTTTGTATTTACAGCTGATTTGAAATTTAGTGGGACACGTTATGGATTTTGTGATGATCGGCGGCAAATTTCGGTAATTATTTTTCGGTAATAAAAGTGTCAGCTGTAATATCATTAGCCGGCTGATTAAACCATCAGCTAGCTAAGCGGCTAACTTAATCGGCTAACTTAATCGGCTTGGAACACTATTTGCATTATTAGTGGATACATTATGTGTATATATATATATGTTATGTCTACTATATTTAATATGTAGAATATATGCTACTATATAGTGTATTTGTAGTCGATTTCTCATGGTCGATTTTATTGACTTAACCAGCTTAGTCAGCCGATTTTCCAAAATTCGACTTAGTCGATTTTAGTTAGATTATTATTATATTAAAGTAACCAATCAGATTCGTACGTTACTATGTATTAAGAGCAGGAGCCGAAAAATTCAGAAGGAAAAATAATATTAATCGAACTTTAACTTAGCCGGCTAAGCCGATTTTAAATATCGACTTAGTCAAGTCGATAAATAAGGTATTTATGACACTTATCGTTATGGCGCTTATGACGCTTATGACGCATTTTCTGCCATATCAACGTATGCCACATATGTCATATAGGCGTAAATAATCCGGTAGATATTCAACCTCGTGATGATCATGGATCTCTCTTACAACGTAGAGATGATAAATTTTATAATTTACATCAAGGTGTTTAAAGCATGATGGTTCTTAAAAACTATGGGATGCGGTGCAATTTAAATTCAAACATTAAATTAAAAAAAAAACATATATATAACTTATACTGTATATGTTTGTTAATTTATTGGTAATGTTCACAATCATTAGTTTTACAGATAGAGACTTTAAAAGAATATGGCTTTGCGATATATTGCTGTTTAAATTAATAAATTCAACCGCTTTTATTAATATGCGCTAAGTTGTTACAGAATTAATTTAAGTTAGATCGAATTACAGTAATTATTATAAATAAATAATACAACTTAATCGAACTATATATCTTTGAAAAAAGTAGATATATAAATTTTATTACAGAACTCATAAAATACTAAAGATGTTTGTTCGGACCGTCTCTGATTATATATATTTTACCATTAATCTACATAAAATTTGCCACATGAATATTAACTAAATATATTTAAGCAACTAATTGACCTAATTCTATGATAATTGTAATTACAATAGTTAAAATATAAATATTAACAATATTTCCAAATTTACTAGATCCATCACTTTTTTTAGGTTTACTGGAATTATTATTAGTAGTCTCAGAATTTGAAGTGGTATTTGAAGGGGTACTATCACATTGAATATCCCATAAGACATTAAAAGTAACATTAGCAGCTTGAGAGTTAAGATTCTTTATCGCCATAACAAAATAATATTGATTACTTGAAGATTCATAACCACTATTACATGGTAAACTTGGACAAGAATTTTCGAGCGAAGGAAACTGGTTTCCAATGCTTGCAGGCGCAGTTTTAGATGTGAATTCCCATACGTACATTTTATATTGGGAATTGTTAGTACTTGGATATGGATCATTAATTGAAATGCTGAGAGGAGATCCACAATTACTGTTAAGTGAAGCTGAACTATCAGCGAGTGTCAAATTACACTCTATAATATAAATTAAAAAATTTATTAATATTAGAAATTTTTATAATAGTATAATTAAACTTAAAATACTTGCGATGAGCAGAAGAAGCTGTGTTAGACCAAGCCCACCAAACACCATTTGCAGGAATTTGAACTGTTGCTGAATTTGCGTTAGTCTTCACTGTGATATATTATATAATGGATGGTTTTTATATTAGTATATACTGTTAATAATTGAGTTATTCCCAATTGCTTTTTAAGGGGGTTTACATATTATTTTTGCAAGACTTGATTTTAAACTCAGTTGGGAAATAGCCTCCGGTCATCAATTAGTTTACGGGGGAATAATTGAACATTTTCCCCGGATTTTTTCTCTTCGATTCCTATCGGAACCAAAATGATCCGGGAAAATATTTCATTATTCTCACCGTGCCAGGGAGTATTTATTAATAGAATTATAATTGAACTTTACCTATCTGCAGGATTAAAAGGAGCATCAATATAAAAAAATATTTCTTCATCCTTAGTTTTTTTTTTTAGTAACAACTCTTTCAACTTTGGGGATTTTGTGAAGAAATATATTAAGATAATACGACTATGGTTTTATACTAATTAGGATGCAAAAGCCACCATAATAAATAAATGAAAAACCGGTTACACATAATTTATACGGTGAAATGTTTGGATTGATTAAATCAATTTCTGTATCACCTTACATCAGTATAGTATGGGACTGCATAATCTGATAAACCAAAATGGCTTTTTTTAAAAAAAAACTTGCCTAGTGATTCAAATTTGATTTATATAATTTTTATGCCAAGAAAATTTTATGTATTATAATAATAAAATCATAATTTGACTAAATTAGTTTTAAATTTTATAATTAGATTAAGAGCTTAACAATTTAAAGTTTATACGTACGTATGGGAAAAAATAAAATAAAATTTGGCCGCTATTAACAAAAATATATATCCAATCATATTGCTTGTTTTTTTTTATGTAACATATATTCGACTCGGAAAAAAGTAATAACCTATCGCTCCCGGTAATCGTTTATGTTAAATTGACTTTTACAGTCAAATTCCAACCTTTGTTCAACTTAAAAGACAAATCAATAGTAAATAAATATATATGCAACTAAATTATAAGTTTTAAACATCTTTATGAAATTTATAAATTCAAAATTGTCTTTGTAAATATTTTGAATTACGGACGTACGTATATGGATTGTAAAGCTTTGGATTTCTAGAAAACATAGTCTATGTTACTAGTGTACAATTCTAGAAATCACAGTCTATGTTACTGGTGTACAATTGAAAATCATAATGCGTAACATTAATGTTAATTAATATTGCAATAACAGTAAGAAATGCCACACCATATTAACTCCTTTTTATGATTAATAATAAAATCACATGGAATTACGTAAATAATGAAATTAAATAACTTTTTATGGTTGGCTATGGTCATATATAATACAGTATTAACAAATTAAATTTAATTATATACAAGAAAATTAATTCGACTTTTAAAGGTACTTCTAAATTCGGTTTATTTTATATTATTACTTTTGAAGATCGAAAAACGGTTTTTACTTTTTTACTTACATTCTTAAAAAAGTATTCAAGCTCTATTAATACAATTGTGAATAATTGCCAAATCAGAAAATTTTATCCGATGAAGTAACTCGTTTTTTGCAAAGTGCAATAATTAATTCTCCTTATTCATTATCCTCCACCTTTGTTTTACTATGCTAGATTTCTTTTTATAATTATAATTACCATATTTGGTATTTCAAATGGTTTATTTTAATAAAGGATATAGAGAATTTATCGGTAGTCTACGGTTGACTTGTTGGGAATACAGCAATAATAGTTCTGCTATTATGTAATTTCCTATTAAGGTTATAAATAAAACTGGAACTAAAATCCGATGGCTGGCTAAAAATAAAAGTAAATAAATAACGTATTGGTTAAATTAACGATTATCTATTCTAAAAATAGAATTAAAAGAATTAACACATAAAATCTGTCTACGTATAATATTCTCACAAGCACTTAAAAGTCATGAATTATATCTACCAATACGAATAAACTAAATAAGCACGGAAAAATTGTCTTCATCTGACATTCCGTGTAAATAATAATTATAAGCGCATATTTACTGAAAAAGCATAAATTTTAGTCATTAAGATTCTTTCAACCTCTTTAGCCCGTTTAAAAGGTTGATACCTTTTAAATGATATCTTTAAATGATTATACGTAGATAACTATACTTTCTTATTTTAAATTTCCGTATTTTTTGGTCGCATCAAATTCAGATAGAACATACTTTAGAATTCTCGTGATTAGTTGAGGTAATACAGTCAGACCTCTGTAAATACGATGCGACGGGACCATATGTAAAAATTTAGCCAAACATGCATTTAGAGAGGTATTGCATTTAGGGAGGTAAAAATCTATAGGCGTAATATTAGTTGGGCCAAGAGAAGACATGCATTTGGGAGGCTTTTCATAGGACGTGCATTTAGGGGATTACATTTAGGGGGGTCTTGGAAATATCTATCGATTTATGAATTATGTAGTTCTATAAGAAAAAAAGCTTGTCGTATAAAATTGGCATGTTTTCATAAGCACACCCCCGCTTTCTAGACTAATCCAGATAATACGTACTTTATTATAAAGAGGATGTTTTTTATGAAGTGTCAACCGTAATAATCCTAAAAGTTTCTATCAATCTTATTTAATAACTCTATTTTTAATGCATTAAGTATCCTTATTATCCTAAAAACTCTATTATCAAAGTTTTATTTTAGGCTATACAAAATTAATTTTTTGTTTCTTATAATTTGAAAATTTAAAAATAATCTGGCAATCTGACCTTTAATTTTATTTTTAAAAATTTTATATGTAAAAAAACATTTTATAGATTTCTAAAAAAAATTTCCCGGAATTTTATAAGATAGTACCTTATTTATTATTTTTTTTTGCTCATAATAATTACATATAGTTTAATAATATTATACGTATACGCTAGAAATTTCACTTCTAATTGCCTCAAGATTAAAGAAAGTTTTTTTTTTTAGATTCCTTTGCATGATACAGTAACTGTTGGCACTGCTTTGAAGACAAAGATGGTGTCAATTTTATTTTTATATTTTGAATGTTACATTTATGAAAAGTGCTCTAAACTGTATAACTGTTAACAAAGTGAATTTATGATGGTCGGTTAACATAAATATTCATGCTTGCAGATATCCAATCGGCAACATGCATCCTGCTGTATCCCCATATGACTTCATATTTCCGTTATTTTTAGCTATAGACTAGATATTAGTCCTGCAGAATAAAGGCGAATAACCTACGTTTCTCAAATTTTATTTACATAATACAACGAGATGTAAAAAGAAGATAGCAATCATATAAGTTTTAGCCAATTATCGGTGTAACATGAAAAATCAATTAATTAAATAAAGAAAATAAACACTCTAAGGCCATACAAGTTAATTTTCGTTTTGCATAACCTGGTGTTCCGACATCCCAGTCGGCGAGTCAGATTTTTATTTTTTTAAAAAAAAAATTACTATAAATTAATAGATTCATGTTCATATTTAAGGCCACAAATTAATTTTTCGTTTTGTAGAACATGGAAACAAATTTGTAATTTTTATTTTTATTTATTTGGTTTTTTTTTTAGAGGACCTATCGGATAATTTCTGAAAATTAGGTCGGCGGGTTATGCAAAGCGAAAAATTAACTTTGCGTGGCCTAACAGCTTTATGATTAGTGTTAGGATGGGAAAGTTCGTATAAAATCATTCTAAAGCTATTTAGAGTTATAATTTAGTATTTGATTAGAATGATTATATCATATATTAAAATTTCATGAGGATTTTTTTTTTTTTACCAATACGCAGTATCTAAGACCTATCACTAATCCATTGGTTCTTTTTAAATAATATACCAATTCACATGTAATATAAATTACAATATGCTACTAAAAATATGCTTTACATTAATCTTTAACTCAGCGATGAAAGTAGAAACATGCACTAATAATATTTATGAAATAAAAAAATTTTGCCGTTTTATTTGATGTTGGACTTTCGGTGTGTAAACTAAACGAATCTCTATAACTGTTTAATTGAAATAGCATATGTTATTGTAAAGAATTCAACGTTATAATATTTATATGCATTTCAATCTGATGCATAATTAGACTCTCTTCTTGAAATAGAGTGGACTGAAAAATATGATGCGCAAATATGTGCGTGTTTATTTTTTTTCGTAGATCATATGTATATCAATATATAGTCGATTCCGTAGAATTAGAGTTGGACGGGGAAATTTGATATACATATATGTGCATATGTGCATATGTGTCATGTTTTTCGTGAATCATATGTGCACAATGTGCCGCGATATATAATGTAAAAAATATCTTTAATTTCAATTTACATAGCGCTTAAAAGAATAACGTCGTTTTTGTAAATTTTTGGATGGTTTATCGTTTATTTTTGGAAATGATTAGGGCTGTGACATTTATTACGTAATATTTTAGGGGGTGGGTGGGGGTTGGGTATGTATTATATCAATATCTTACGTTACACAAAGAAATTATATGATTTCTAAATTGGCCAATTATGTAGATCTTATGTGGGGAGGGGTAGCCCTTATAGTAAATGGATATTACGTAATAAATGTCAGAGCCCTTATCTTCGGCATAGTTTTTTTACGAAATTTTGGATTTCATAAATTTCAACCGATTGCAATAAAGGTACTCTTTAGCGCGATATGAGCAGCGCTTCGAAGCGCAAGCGAAATAGCACTCAAAATTTCACTTGTCGAACAACTGTTGAATATATATGTGAGAACGGTAAATGCCGATTAAAAAGGACAAAAAGAGAACTCCCCTTAACGTTAAGCTCATGAAATTACCAAACCAGAAAATGATCCGAGAATCAACCAAGAAAAGTTTGGGTCAATCACTGCCGCAGCACTTCGATATTTTCGAAATTTAAATATTGCCAAACAGTTGGGTATCGTAATACCCTACTGTTGCAAAATTCAGGCAATGCACGGGTGATATATATATCACGAATTATATAGCAAGTTAAGTGATGTGCGTCCACAAAAAACTC